AACCCCAGACTTTGGCGGACTTGACGTCATTTCTCAGTTTTATCCTTTTTTGGCGAGTTTGAGAAGTCTCGAATATAGGTTGACGTCTGTTTAAAAATGACCATGCTTTTTTCAAAATCAGAAAATTCATGAAAAAAGAAGATGTCATGAAGGAATAAAAAGAAACCGAGTCAATGAGATAAATATACTTATCAAATACTAGATGGTAGAAACAGAATCGCAGATTGTTCCAATCATCCTGGGTCAAAAAAGGTAAAATACCGGTAACAATAGCAAAGGACCACGCTAAAATAATGAAAAAGATCCCTCGTGATTTCTTCATAATGTCGCCATATCTGTGCGGAAAGTAGATAGCTACAAGACGGTCTAGAGTGGAAAACAGTAATGAAGACTGTGAAGCAGTGGTCATAATTGAAATAATGCGGTACCGTATAAAGCAAGATGCTTTATTGTTGTCTATTTCTGGAAAGAGGAAGTAGATAAGTTGACTTCCGCTTGCAAAACCTGTGCCTAGGTCTGTAACTGCTAAGCTGATGACCATTCTGTTGCTGAACGTGTTGAGTTTGAGATACTTCAGAATCACGACAATGACAATTAAATTTCCGGTAAAAGACATGAGAAACACGCATTGCTGCAGGGTCAGGAACACTATTAACGAGGGAGACGGCGAGGGGGGTGGGGGAGGTAAAGAATGGTTGCTGACCAGGCTCTCACTTTGGTTCATGTTCATGTGGGGCCTGGAAGGATAATGAAAATACACTGTTAATTTCGTGTTAATTTATGTATTAAAAATTTAAAATACATTGTATTGTATGGATTTTAACTTCTAGCATTAACAATTGTAAAAGATCGAGATTGGTTATTATTATAAGTGGTACTGTGAAAGCATTAGATTTCCTGATGTATCATTTTTAGTGGATTTCGTGGGTATCCCTCACAAATGAAAGTACATCCTCCATGTAAACAAGCGTTACAAAGTCATATTTCCTCTTGTAGGCATATTTTAATGAGTCTACAGTAACCTGTTAATATAATATTTGTAGCAACGAAATATATATATAAGGTCCTTACGGCGGGATTCCTCTCATACATTTCATGTATCTAAAGTTAATGAAATTTTCACAGAATCAAGAAGACAATATCACTAAGTGATGATATCGGTTAGTGTACGTAGACTAAATTTGACCAGTTTTATATTAGATGACTTATATTAAGTCAGGTCAAGGCCATACCTTTTCCATGAACATTAAGAATAAAAATTAGTTATGAATTACTGTTGCCAATCATTCAATCCGTACTTCTATTTCAAAAGATTAATTTTTTTAAAATGAAAAGATATGATCATTTAAAGTCTATAAGATGATATTACCAAATTGACATAAGTAATTTACTGATTTAGCTAAATGGATATAAGCTAATTCTAATCTTATCTATTTTTCTAAAAATTTTGGAAATATAAGTTATTTTCATATGCTTCCTTTATTTATACTTTTCTTATTTCCGCATATGAAGTAGAAGTTATATAGAGATACAAAATGATACAGAAGCAAAAAGTTTTGATCGTTTACTAAGGGAGAAAAAATAATTGTAGTTTGTTTGGAAAATCATATTTATTTGATATATTTTGTATTTTAAAACTTTAGTTATTCAATACTGATTTAGCTTACATTTGAAAAATTAATTTAAGTCTTTAACTGTGTTAAAAATTATAACTAAATTCATTGTTCTGTAATAATTTTGAGACGCAGAAAAGAATATATTTTCACACACCACCATTCCGCCTAAAATATAGTTCCTGCTAGATTTCAAACTCAGTTACTATTTCTATTTAATTTGTTGAGATCTTATGTGGAAAGAAAAATATGCTCCTCTCAATCTCTTATATCTAAATAATAAGTATATAAGACATGTAAACACATATTCTTTGAATATTACATCTAGAGTCAGAAACCAGACAAGAATTCCACCTTAATATCGAGATATAAGTAAAAATAGAAAGTGTACCTTGAGATACAATATGACTTTCTTATAAGAGATCACCTTTAAATGCCAAGACTCAATATGTGTTAAAACTGATTGAACAGAAGGGATATTAAAATGTGCTAATGTAACTGACATATAGTTTCCACGTCAACACGGAAGAACACGCATATATCGAATTCGTGTCTCATTTGATGGCTGGTTATCTGTTTCTCTTGTTCTCCGATCACTAAATTTAGAATTCATCGTGCTGTTAGTTAAGAACCAACACTAATAACCAAAAAATAAATAATAAATATCCTGACAAGGCAGCTTAAGGTAGGATTATTCTCAAATTTCTTGTATTTAAAAATTAATGAATTTTTCACAGAATCAAGAGGACAATATTACTAAGTGATGGTATCAGTGAGATTAAATTTGACCGTTTAATATTAGAGGCAACGGCAGGTCAAGGTCATTACCTTTTTCCTGGACATTAAGAATAAAAAATTACTGTTTCCAATCATGCGATCCCTACTTGTAATTCAAAAGATTGAATGTTTTTCTTTTTGCATAAAAAGATACTACCATATAGGGCCTATAAGATGATATTACCAAATTGACATGGATAATTTAAATAAAATGGATATTTGCTAATCCGAATTTCCTCTACTTTTCTTAAATTTTTAGGATTTATTAGTTATTTTTATATGCTTCCTATATTTAACTTTTTCTAATTTTCACATATAGTAAAGTTGTCACATAAAGGTACAAAATGATACAAAAACTAAAAGTTTTGATCGTTTACTAAGAGAGAAATATTACTTTTTACGGATTTTTGGCTCAAACCTGTACTTAGATTTGAAGCATTTAAAAGTCAACATAGTTCTTGTATGTGTAAAAAATATCATTTATTTGATATGTTTTGAAACTTTAGTCCTTTATTATTAATTTAACTTACATTTGAAAATTTTGTCTAGTCTTTGATTGTGTAAAAATTATAACTAAATCCAATGTTCTGTAATAATTTTGAGAGGCAGAAAAGAAGATATTTTCATACACCATCATTCCGCCAAAAATATAGTCCCTGCTAGTTTTCAAACGCAGTTTACCATTTCTATTTAAAGTCGTATAATTGTGATGAGAAAAGAAAAATATGGTCTTTTAAATCTCTTACATCTAAATATATAAGACATATCAACAAATATACTTTGAATATTCCATCTAGTCAGAAAACAGAGAAGAATCCTACCTTAATGAGAAACATCGTAATGTAGACCAAATTCTCATCTCCTAGAATTTTTTTTTTAATTAGAGCATTATAAAATATAGTGTAAACAAACAAAGCAATATCTCTAAAAAAATCATCCTTTGTACCACATGCTTTGAATACTTCCATGTTGAATAGCTGTTTTGAAAATTCTAGAAAAAGTGTCATTATTTCAAAGAACGAGTAAATTAGAAAAATGTCTCAAACAGGGATGTTCTCTACAAGAACAATTATGATCTACTAGTTTATTAATTCAAAAGAAATAAAATACATAGAGATTTTTCAAGCAAACAAATATTCAATGCACTAAAAATTGGAATCAATATATGACAAGAAAAGAAATCTTATGGAATCATTTTATTTCGTGGGGGTCAATAATTGAGCTTTAACTTCTTCAAAGGTACTTAATTTCGTAGGTTACTCCTTTATACAATAGATTCAATAAATCCATATCTTTAAAAAATATAAGTATCCGAGGAGATGAAAATTCTTGGGTAAAGGTAGCCCCTGAACATTGGTCCCCCACGAAAAATAAAGATGTCAAAGTAAAATCACATATAGATGAGTAAAATAATTTCCAAAATCCTATAAAAACAGGCACGTTTATACTACTATAAATTATATAGATCCCTGATAAGAATTGTTATTTAGAAAGGATATTCTTTTTAATAACTACACATCGATTGTATAGGGCATGTAATAAGACATCCTATGAATTACATGATACATCACAGCGGATGAACGGTTGGTATTACTTAGGCTGTTTTATAAATAATGAATAAAAAGCAGAAATTAAAATGCACAGGAAAAATGAATCCTTATCTTAAGATATAACGGTTATTTTCCGGCTAACAATAAAAAAAAAGCATAATATACACATTAAGGTATTAGAAAGTTAATTGCAAAAGCCGTCAACTTACCATAAATTTTCTTTTTAAAGTATCTAATAACAGATTTCTAAAAACAAGATAACTTAAAAGCTTTTATTCATATACCGGTATTAATCTTGATGACAATATGGGGGAACATTTCCAGTTTACTATGTTGCAATATTCCATGAAAATAAGTACGTATTCATCAACATGATTTAAATCATGAAAACTGTGATTAACCTATTGTACAAACAAAAATTAATGTTTAAAATAAGAATATATTTTTTCAGAGTAAATGTAAAAATGAAACCTACCTCGCAACACTGCAGTTGATTTTTGATTTTACCTTTTCAGCGCGCAAGATCAATATAAAAGAAAATTAAAAACAAGAGTATTATGTTTTGACTGATGGCGTCAAACTATCGTACGTATAAGACAGACCAATAAAAAAGAGGACAGGTAGACAGAAGTGAGAGCATGCAACATAGAACTGAACGTTTGTCATACACCAGTAATGTAGTTAATATTCCTTAATTAAAGGTCTACCAGACGCTTTGTTGTCTCCCTTACCTATGACGTCGGGAAAGAGCATCTGAGTGAAGTTCCACAGTACCTTAAACGACTTATTATACCCCCCGTTGAAAAGCGGGAGGGTATACAGTAATCGGTATGTCCGTCCGTACATGTACGTCCGTCTAGCTGTACGTCCGTCCGTCCGTCCGTCTGTCTGTCTGTCTGTTACGCTTTGGGGTACCTATCTCTTATCCGCAACTCCTTCTATACCACTGAATGAAATTTTAATGATGATTTGATAAATCTTCATTACATATTGCCATTGTGAACCTCCTATTTTATTTTTCGATTCGACACATATTTTGGGTTTCCCACAACAAAAAATGTACACTCCCATTATATTCATATGGGAGGCGGGGGTATCATTTAGTGAGCTCATTGCTCACAGTACCTCTAGTTTACCTTTATGTGACTATCTTGTCCGGTCGGTTTCAAAACTCCGATTTTGCCAACAGGTTCTCTGAAATTAATATTAAAAAATGATGACTTTGGAGATCAAGACTTCCAAAAAACCTGGAATTCTTATGGGCACTAATTGAGCTCCTTTATTAGCCAACCCGTTTTTATATTCATTTGAAGCAGAATTTACTCAAAAACTTCTACGTGAGAAAAAGAAAATTCCTTCTGGGATCTTCAAATTAACATTTAGATTAAATCGAGACAAATTATATTTTAACAAAATATGTCCTTTATCCCACTGAACTTAAAAAAAAAGTACCAAAGGGACAACTAGGCTCCCACACCTGTTTCTTACTTTGATGTTTTATTGACTGTAGACAATAAAACAGTAGTTTAAAACTTGTTCCAGTATTCCGATGTCATCTGCCTGTGGTATACGTATGTTCTACCTCTCATTCGATAGTCATCTTCTGAGTATAATCAGTTAATAACCAAGGCTGGCTTCAAAAAGATAATTTATTGTTAAGGGAAGTTCAACAATCTCGTTTTAATCAGCATTTCGTAAATTCTATGATCATTATAATGACCTAGCTTGTTAGCAAATACATGTATAACATTATTGGGTCGTACTTTAGCTGACGTGCTTCGCTC